CGTAAAGTTTATAGTTGGATGAAGGATGCAGTATTGTTGGTAACTAGGTAATATTGCTAGTAACCTGGCAGTAATGCTAATAACTTGGCAATATTGTTTAAAATATATATATGCTACACAAAAAAAGTCGTAGATTCAATTCTTAGTATGCTTTTTTTCTACCTGTATATTTTGCTATACCCCAATGTTTCTGACTACAAAGTTGTGTTGATACGAATCATTTAACTATTTTATAGTAGTTAGAAATATTGCTAATGACTCAACGGCATTCTCAGTAACTTAGTAATATTGCTAATAACTTCAGTATTGTTGGTAATACAGCGATATTGCCAATAACTTAGAAATATTGCTAATAACTTAGTAACATTGCTGGTAACATAGCGACATTGTCAAAAGTGTAGAAATATTGCTAATAACTTAGTAATATTGCTAGTAGCTAAATAATATTTATAATGAGTTAGTAGTATTGTTGATAACTGCAATATTGCTAATAGCAGTCAATTGTCTTTCCAGTTAGTCATAAACGAACCATTTGGTTAATTTTTCCATTTTTATAATTAGAGACAAAGATTGGAGTATGGTTAATAATTTAGCAATGTTGCTAATAACTGAGTTCGTTAACTAAAAGTTACAATATTTTTTTCGTAAAGTTTATAGTTGGATGAAGGATGCAGTATTGTTGGTAACTAGGTAATATTGCTAGTAACCTGGCAGTAATGCTAATAACTTGGCAATATTGTTTAAAATATATATATGCTACACAAAAAAAGTCGTAGATTCAATTCTTAGTATGCTTTTTTTCTACCTGTATATTTTGCTATACCCCTATGTTTCTGACTACAAAGTTGTGTTGATACGAATCATTTAACTATTTTACAGTAGTTAGAAATATTGCTAATGACTCAACGGCATTCTCAGTAACTTAGTAATATTGCTAATAACTTCAGTATTGTTGGTAATACAGCGATATTGCCAATAACTTAGAAATATTGCTAATAACTTAGTAACATTGCCGGTAACATAGCAACATTGTCGAAAGCTTATGAATATTGCTAATAACGTAGTGATATTGCTAGTAACTGTGTATTTATAATAATTTAGTAGTATCGTTGATAACATTACAATTTGTATTGCTAATAGCAATCAATTGGCATCCATTTAGTCATAAAAGAACGATTTAGATCATTTTTCAATTAAATTTATAATTAGAGCCGAAGATTGGGATATTGTTAATAAATTAGCAATGTGCTAATAACTGAGTAATACTTAAGTAAAAAAAATAAAAAAATTTGGTAGAAGTTTATAGTTGAATGAAGGTTACAATATTGTTGGTAACTAGGCAATATTGCTAGTAACCAGGCAGTAGGTACTGCTAATAACTTAGCAATATTGCTAAAAACGCATGTTATTTTTCCATTTAAGATTTTGAAGAAGCAATTTCGATTCGAATCTATCTCATTTAAATTTGTAATTGGATAAGAGTTAGCATATTGTTAATAACTTAGTAACGTTGCTAATAACTTAGCAATTGCCTCACAATCAGATGGGAGTCATGAAGTTGAATTATCGTTAAAATTTATAACCGAGTGAAGATCGAAACCTTTTGTCGACACGTTCTTCGAAACGTTATTTGTTCTCCCTTATCTCCCCATCAGATCAATGAGAAACCGCAGGTATTCCACCCGGCATCCTTTACATAATTAGTATCGGTGATTCAAGACCCTCTCTGGCATATTCGCCCGCCGCGCGAATGTAAAATAAAAGGCGGGCGGTGGGGATGGCGTCTAAAAGCGTCGCTGCCGTCGAGCTGGTAATTTTAACACACCTTCGGCACAGTAACGCGAGTTGTCGCGCAGTTCAACCGGTGCGATCGGCGATTGTCACGCGCTGTCCGCGATCGAGGAATGCTGTGGTACCAGGGCGACGACGACGATGAGGAGGACCTCATGTTTTCCCCCGCTTTGCTGGCCAGACGGGCTTCGGAGAGCTGGATCGACACGCCACCTGTTGAGGTCGGACAGAATCAGTTATCGATAAGTAGACGCATTGTTTCGGGGGGAATGTTTTCGCTTTGCGGCGCTGGGCCGGACGATAGTTTTGTTCTTTTTGGTTGGGCGCCGGCCCGTGGTGTTTATTTTTAGTTGTTTAACATTTCTATGCGGTCAATTTGTAGCGATTTGGACAGTGTCGGACTGGCTATTTTCCGCGAAGGGCCGCTTTTTAACACAAACCGCGTCAAGGTAATATTCGAAAATATTCGAGATTTCGTTTCCAAAGCGAAAAGTATGAAAAATTGGAAGGAACTCGGAGCAGACCCAGAAATATATTTTCATGGGATAAAATTCAATGAATTAGAACAAAACTTTTATATTCTGGATACCTTCAAATCTCAAATTAATCGAACTTAAGCATAAATTAACAAAAGGCAAATAAGTATAACATTTCATGACCAAACAATGAAAATAAACAAAATAACAGTTCTCTATAACCCAAAAAAAAACAATATTCAGAGTATATTTTATCTTGAGCTATGACCAAATTTCGACATAAAAGTAAACGAAAAAAGTGGGTTCCGAAAAAAATTAAATTCACTTAAAAGAAGATATTTATAGTCTTTGTCGGACCCTGCTTCATCTGAGCACTTATCTGATGCTCCTGAACCTTCTGATTCGAGCACCATACTCTTGATCATCTTGAACATATTCAAAATATGTATTTTCCTCCAAACTTTACTTTTATTTAACATATGATAACATTTACATATATTGTGTCAGGCAAAATAACTTTTTTATTCTGGATCGCAATAAAAGGTATTTTTTCCAATTTTCCGAATTTTTTTAATTTTTCTTGTCATAATTTTCTCTGATATTTTATGCTCCTGGTAGAGATCTTTCGAAACGGGCATCTTGATTTGTCGGATTTATAAATTGTTTCGAATTTATTTTGAAAAATTTAATTATTTCGGTAAAAGGGGTAGCCCACAACTAGAATTGACGACTACTTATTCCAAAATATTTTTTCATAGAGATAAATTAACACCCACATGACAATGTGTATATAACTATGACGTTTTTGTCGCTTTGACAGCCATAAAAAGGTGCGTAGCTTTTTATCACCGATAAAAACTCCTGTTCCTCGAAACTAAACTATCCTTAGTAGGCGCACGTCAGTTTAAAATGTTTCCTGTCACTACAATAATTATTAAGTACTATTGAAAGTGTGAATATAAAATATACATAATGTGAGTCGTTTTGGAAAAATTTCGACTGAATAAATTAGCAAAAACATAGAAAAATCAATTCCACAATCTACAAAAAACAGTTAATCGTCGATATGGAGACAATTTATGGGGTTTTATTAAATTCGAAATTACGAACTATCAGAAATGACTCCATTAGAAGATATAGCGGATATGTTAAAGGTTAAAGGATTGGTCATATAATATGAAAAAGAAAACTGGAGAAGGTTGCAAAGAGTTAAAACAATCTGGAATTCAACTGCAAAGTTGATTCAAGAAAAATATTTCATTGAATGTAACATTAAATTTGCTCCTTTTACCGACAACTTTTAAAGCTCGTGATGCAGGAAACAGTAAGAGAAAGGAATTACAAGCTATTCCAGAGAGAAGAAAGGCATGTTCTGTAGCTATAGACAAGGAAAATATACTAAGAATGGCAAAATTGTGGAATACAGGTATAAATGAACTTGAGGAATTACAAAAAATATTCTTTAATACAGCTTCTTGCGAATTGGCTTGGAAGGGAGGAGAAGCAAACTGTGTTTACCATTTTAAAAGTGAAAAAAATCAAGGTGGAACCCCAACAGCAAGAGTCGATTACAATTAAATATTTTCAAAGACAGCACAAGGCGGATCGAAAAAATTGACAGACAGCAAATGGATACTTAACAATGTTGAAATTACTCTTAGAAAAGAAAAAGTAAAATTTGTCATTGTCATCATCCATTAAACCCTACCTTCAAATTGACGCTGAACATCATAAAACTCTTATTAGTAACTTACGAACCTCGGATAGAATAAGTCAAAAGAAAATATTGAAATCAGTACACCAAACCAAACAATTTGTAATACATAACTGTGTATTTAATAACTGTTTCTTCAAATAATTTGAGATAATGGTTGTTTTTCGTTGTTGTTAATTCACATATTTGATCGTTAATTTATCTTGCCAAAAAACACGCGAGCTTTTCATTTCATGGATAAATTTCTTTTTAACTCAAAAGTTTGAAGACACCTTTTTGTCTGGTAAACTCGGTGGCGTCGAAATTCTCGCGTTCTTATTAACGGAATTTCCCAATATCTCCGCCACTGAATCTCATATTTGTGTATTAACTTTTTACCCATAATTAGTTACGTCATTACCTAAAATTTTATTAATATAAGTCAAACATTGTAAGAGACTTAAATAAATACTATTTTTAAAATTCCAACACTGTATCAGGGAAACGAAGCATGCTGCGACCTATGTTTATATGATTTTTTTTTTATTTTTACAAAATATGAAAGAATGCATGAAATATTAATACTGTTACTACGTTTTTATTGCTCTGTACTATTTAAAAACAGATCGTAATTAAAAGTAATTTTTCTCGGAGTAACAAGAATTATTGATACACCTTACGAACAATTAGATTTACACTAAGTAGAAATTCAAAAGTTTAAAACACTGAATCCGCGTCGATTTATTTCCAGAAACATCGGAACACATGCTCGTAAAAATGTTATTCACCCTGTACAATTACACAACAGAATTACTTGGAACCGAAATACACGACCGGGTAGAGATACAAATCTACATCAATTTCCCTCAAAATAGACCAGATTATCACGAAAAATTCATTTTTATGTGTCTCAAGGCAACGACCCGACTATCCTTGTTAAATGTTAAAAAATGTATAACGAATTGAAGTTTTACATATAAAATCGATTCCTTCGAGTCAAAATTAAAATCGCAAGTACCTACCGCGAAGCAATTGAATTCGAGAGATAAACAAAGTTTTATTACAAATGGCACCGAAGTGTTTATCTCAAGACTTATTTTCGCGGTTAAAAATAAGCTGTGTGTTTGTGTGACCATCACAAATATTTGTCTCTCGATTGGCATAAAGTTTTATTTTGGTGAAGCACTCGCGAGAACTCCTTTGTTATGCGGTAGTAAAAACTGGCTAATTTATTCTCAATTAGCGTTAAAACCACTTCAAAGTTTACAATTTTGTTTAAAAAATACAGGGTTCCCCCAGAAGTAAGAAATTTAAAACAAACATCAAACAAATATATTATAAGTATTTTAGAACATAGTCGAACATATATTTATAAATTCACCCTTTATAGTCCGGTAACCAAGTGAAATTACCTGGAGAAATTTTTGGGTTTTGATATTTGAAGATTATATGTACATATTTTGAACTGTTTTTTTTTCCAATTTTTATTTTTCTACGGTGTATCTTTGCCGCTGGAACCGCTATTCACAGAAAAAAATGACATATCTTGTTTCTGGTTGATTTTACAACAAAAATGATTGTATATTAAATTAAACTACACAATTTTCTTAACAAAATGGGTCTCTTTCATTTTTTTTCATAAAACTAACCGTTTCCATGCATGCACGAGAATTACAATGTTTACCAAGTATGTAACGTCAATCAATGTGGATGGAAGAAAGACAAAAATGGTCTTGTCTCTCTGACTAGTCTCCAAGCACCTGCTCCAGAAGTTCTTCTTAAACTAATTTCTTGTAAATGCAAGAAAGGATCAGGCCCGGATCCAGAGGGGGTGGCGATGTGGCGATCGCCACCCCCAAAGCACAACATTTTTTAAAGATCTTCAATTTCTCCAAACGACAACAGGCAGTTAGTCGATATTAATGCAAGTAGAAGGATTCATTAGTGTCAAGCTCCTATGAAAGAAGTGCTTTGCGCCACCCCCAAAACCAGTCTCTGGATCCGGGCCTGGAAAGGATGTCGTGGAGCATGTGGATGTAGGACATCAGGGATCAACTATTCTATAATTTGCTCAAACTGTCACAACAGATGCGATAACATATCTCAAGCATTGGAAGATAATGACGATGAAGACACTAATACAATCTTAGAACCACTGTGTAATAAAATCGATACAGAAAGTAGAGAAAAAGCTACTGTGTCAGAATAATTGATCCCACGCAACTCTGAGATTTCGTTGCCTTCAACTATCAAAAACATCGATACAGCTGGTCCCTCAGGGGTATAAAAACGAAAGAAGTTATTGTAATTTTCATTTATCAAGGGAAACCACAGAAAAAAACGCACCATATACTCTGGTGGTGTAGAAATAGGTATTACTTTTCGTTGCACGTTAAATGGTGACCTTTGTAGCCCAGTTAATGAAAAAAATATTCTAAAAAAATTCGTTTCAAATGGAAACTTGGTTTAATCGTTAGTTTAGGCAAAAAGAAATAATATTTCCCAATAAATATCGGTTTAAAACAACAAGATCGTTGTTTAAACAATGATTATAATGTAAAAATTACCAAATATGGAGTTTTTTAACTGTATTAAAAAGCGCTCTCCAACAGGAGTTTTTGCTTTTGTTTATACTTATAGGTTTTCAATAAACGCTTCATTTGAGACCTGCTAAATTAAAATCCATTAACAATTTGTTTAAATAATTGCAAAAAAGAGCATAAATCGTCTCTAAACTGCAGTAAAAGTTGTATTTTGTTACGCTTAAGAAACCCTGAAAATTTGATAAAAAAATATTCATTTGTTTACGAGTTTTTGCATTTGTTTATTAGAAATAGCATTTTTTCAATTGTAAAAACGGGATTGCGTTATAATAAATGAGGGCTCATTTGTTTCGTCTTGACTTATATTTTCAAGATATGCAATTGGAAATTGTAATTTCACAGGCTAACCTCCTCAAAACGGCGTATAAACAAATAGTGTAATTTGTTTATAAGATTTTTCGTTAATAACTTTGCGAAGAATGCATATCTTTTTTCTACACGTCAAAAAGTGACAAGATTTGCGCATTGACAACAATATGTGAAGTGACACCTTTTTTTCGGATTCTTACATGACCATGACACCGTGCGCGAAATACTTCGCGCACTAGGGTTCGAAGTATTTCGCACACTGCATGTAAATTAATAAGAGTTTTGTATTTCAATCTTTGAAAAAATGAAGCAAAACTCCAAATTATTATTTATTTTTAAATGAATAGCAATTAAATACTTTTAAAATAATGATAGAATTTTACAATAACTTTAGTTATTATTTACAATATCAACATTAATCGTACAACCAGTACACGAACCAATATTTTAAGAGATAGATTTTGACGTTTGTAGAAAAAATATTGTTTGCATCTCGTGCGCGAACTATTTTGGTGGTCTCGAATAATTTTTTAACTCGGCTTCGCCTCGTTAAAAAATTCAATTCTCGATCACCAATGTAGCATTTCGCGCACTAGATACAAAAATAACTATTAAAGCCGCTTTGATAAAAAAATTGTTCTAGGACCATTTTTAGTGATATCGAGATAGCGTTTTTTTTTAATTCATAACTTGTTTATTTATAAACATTAAGACTTAAAATTTCGGAAATAAATCAATCAGTCCTTAAACTTCGCAATATCGGTTAAAGATATTGAACTAAATGCATTTTATAGTAATTTTTAACCCTTTAAAAAACGTCCTCGAATACATTTTTACACCTGGAATGTGGTGGGGGAAATAAGACAGAACGTTCCGAGACTTCAAATCTTAACTGCTCGATAATTTTGCGATATCTCTGGTAATTGTGGACCAATTTTAACGTTTTTTTTTAATCTGGGGTAGCGCATGAAAATAATAACAACTGCACGGACCATTTTGCATTGATTAATTATTAATTTGTTATAAACTATTACTTTTGTAAAATTTTTTTTTATTTTTTCGAGAAATAATTTTTCACAATGGTAGAATTACAATTACACAATACAATATTCAACAATTTTCTTAAAAAACAATATTTTTATGTGAACAAAATTCAGGAGATGATATATTTTTTATGTATAAAGTTTATTTTAATGAGAATCGAGTGTTTTAATTTACTTACCTGTTTTAAAATATAATATGTAATTTAATGTTAAAAAATAATACTAATATGCATATTACATCCAAAAACTCGATTCTCATTAAAATAAACTTTATACATAAAAAATATGTCATTTCCTGAATTTTTTTACATAAAAATATTGTTTTTTAAGAAAATTGTTTATTGGTACCATTGTGAATAATTATTTCTCGAAAAAATGCGAAAAAAATTTTATTTTTTTTACAAAATTGATAGTTTATAACAAATTAATAATTAATTATTGCAAAATGGATCGTGCAGTTGTTATTATTTTTATGCGCTACCCCGGATTAAAAAAAAACGTTAAAATTAGTCCACAATTACCGGAGATATCGCAAAATTTGATGGTTCGGAATGTTTGTGTCTTATTTCCCCCACCACATTCCAGGTGTAAAAATGAATTCGAGGATGTTTTTTAAAGGGTCAAAAATTACTATAAAAAGCATTTTATTCGATATTCTTACCGTTATTATGAAGTTTAAGGGTTGATTGATTTATTTCCGAAATTTCAACTCCTAATGTTTATAAACAAACAAGTTATGAATTTAAAAAAAAAACGCTATCGGCTAAAAATGGTCCTAGAACAATTTTTTTTTAAATTCGTGAAAAATTACCAGGATTACGAATATCAAAGCGGCTTTAAAAAATATTCATTCTTCGCAAAGTTATTAACGAAAAACCTTATAAACAAATTACACTATTTGTTTATACGCCGTTTTGAGGAGGTTAGCCTATGAAATTACAATTTCCAATTGCATATCTTGAAAATACAAGTCAAGATGAAACAAATGAGCTCTCATAAGGCTCTTTATTATAACGCTAACAACAGCGTTTCTGCAATTGAAAAAATGCAATTTCTGATAAATAAATGCAAAAACTCGTAAACAACTAAATATTTTTTTACCAAATTTTCAGGGTTTCTTATGGGTAACAAAATACAACTTTTACTGCAGTTTACAGACGATTTATGCTCTTTTCTTCTATTTATATCAAATTCAAATTTCGCTGTTTTTTTGCAATTATTTAAGCAAATTGTTAATGGATTTTAATTTAGCAGGTCTCAAATGTAGCGTTTTTTGAAAACCTATAAGTATAAACAAAAGCAAAAATTCCTGTTGGAGAGCGCTTTTTAGTACAGCTAAAAAACTCCATTTTTGGTAATTTTTACATTATAATCATTGTTTAAACAATGATCTTGTTGTTTTAAACCTATAATTTTCGGGAAATATTGTTTCTTTTTGACTAAACTAACGATTAATCCAAGTTTCAATATGAAACGAATTACAATTTGATTTACATGTATTATAAATTTCATTTACTGGGCTATTGTTAGTCTCCTATCCAAAACGGGTGGTTTCTATGAAAAAAATGGTTAGGATCTATTTTATAGCAAATTTCTTGGACTTTAATTTGTTACATAACTATTTTTGCTGTAAAAGCAACGAGTAACGATATATCTTTAAAAATCTCAAGGACATTTAAATAAAGGGGACTATGCATGTCACAGTCTATCTCATATGTTGGGTGAAGCTAGACAAGGGGAAACATCTCCAATGTCGTACATTTTGGATGGGTCAAAATAAAATATTTTATAGTCCTAAGTCAATATATTTCAACAGCTACTCAGTATTTTTATAATAAATATATATAATATTTTTATAACTTCTTGGAATCCCAATAACTGTAACCATTTCTTTCTTGTTGCACCATCCCCAAGCATCCTAAAAACGTTCACATTTCACTTTTAGAATACTGAGGCAAATTTTCAGTGAGACATAAAAATATATTCCCAAAGGAGAACATCAAATGGTTGAATGAATGCAACTTTCAGTTGATTGCATCTTCGGTATTTTTATGTATAAGTGAACCACCACCATATTTTTGCTGTTGTATTTATTCAGTTTTTATGCTCGTGCATTTAGTAAAATTGTAAATATATTTTTGAAAAGGTTTTTGTCGTAGAGGAAAATGAAAATGATGAATGATTAAAATTTGTAATGTTGGGTATAAGGGATAACATTGAAATACCTATAAATATATTAAATATAAATAATGTCTGTAACTTATTTGTGGTGCAGCATTTTCCTTTGATTTTAATGGCCAAACGTGGTTCATATTATTGTTTTCTTACTATTTCAGCAAAAATTTTAAAAAAATACCAAGTCAGTTTTATAAAATTTTACCGTTATTCAAATAAAAGTTACCCACACGCACGACAATGGCCACAGTTGCATATACATTCCAAAGTCACCTTCAAGCACGCTTACCTGTGGAAGGATAGCTGATGTGGATGTTTATAATCCAATTTCTTACAAATTCTGCACTGTCTAACCATATTCACACCTTAAAAGTTTATCCAAAATACATGTATAAACACTAATCACGTTTCACTTACTAAAATCACAACTATTTTCTAACAAGAGACGCCATATTCTGCCAACCACGGCAGAACGAACGAGGAACACGCTACAAATTATTGCGTAGTTGCCAAGTCTTCAAACATGGCAAATATGAAAAATGAAAAATAGTTTAATATGTACAGAATTTAACAATATCGTATGCATAACTTAATAATACTATCCTATAATAATAATTTCCACAATTGTGATGAAAATTGCGATAAAAATATTAAGTACATTTCCAGTATAATTATACAGCTAGCTGACAACAATGATACAATTAGACTGTGAATAGACCAGGCATCATCTAGAAATGTAAATAAATAAGTCCCCTTTATTTAAATGTCCTTGAAAAATCTCTTATTTTCCCAATTTATTACAATATGGCGGCGGCGGCAAAGATACGAGATGGCAAATGAAAAATTTTAAATGAGAAGCTCAAAATACGTAAAATTGCAATATATCAAAATTTTCCAGGTAAAGTCTTATATTATTGATTTGTGATGCAATTTGCATTTATGTGTATTCTATTTGTTATTTATATTTTACTTTTTTCGTTCCTTTCTTTCGACGTGCGTAAACACTGGTATATTTACCATGCATTTGAAATAAATCGATATTTATTCAGCCAAATTTTGATCTTGGCTCGAATCCCCACTCAGACTTATCGTATTAAAAAAAACTAAATAGTACATTCCTCTCGGGCCGCCAGCCAACTTAACGGGTACGCACAGGACGCCATAACAATGCGGAAATCGTCTCTTCCTATTCTAATAAAAGCCTAAACCCGTGGTCGCAATAACCCCGAGCCTTGTTCCCTTGCAGAACCTGGTGACGCAGACCACCCTGCAGAGGAAGAAGTCCCTGCCCGACGTCCAAGACTTACCCAGGTCCACCGGCGCTATGTCCAGGGAGGAGGTGTCCTACCTGGGGTCGGCGCGACGGGAGGAGGTCCGGAGGCAGCTCGACGAGCACGAGAGGCTCCGCGCCAACCCCCTGCTGTATCTCGTCAGCCCGCAGGTCAAGGTGAGTGGCATCCCTAGGAGGCGAGGTTCACGCTCTGTTAGAGATATTTCAGTACCCTGTGCTCGGGTTCCGGGTCTTTGTGTCGTCCTGCAGTTCTGTTACCTTATATGAGTACTCTGGTGCTTGGGAGAGCGATTCGAACGCGTTTTGTTGGCAGATATTCATTATTATAAGCGATGGGGTCGACTCCTAGAGTAGAATTCCATATAAACATTATAGAAACAATGATAAATCGCGTCTCATTAGGTTACTAAGTTGGCAGTACCAACAACAGCCAATAGTAAGCATAAATGGCTTCCCATTATATGGAAATTTCAAACTAAGATAATTTGTACAAACTACGTATAGTCCAACCAAATTACACTTGGAGAAAAAAAAAATGTTACCTGGACTTTTATAAGTGGAAATAGTAAAAGGGCTTATAATAAATCTAAAAAAAAATAAATGCGTGAGCAGGGGCGGGTTGAAAAGTTATGAAAAATTGTATTATTGGGATTTCTGGCGAAAGTTCACGTCAAATAAAAAAGTATCCAATACAAAAGTTGTAGATCATGCAAAAATTTACAACATTTGTAGAGGTCACTTTTTTACATAACCTCAAAATTTCCGAGAAAAATACGAAAAACCGTTTTTTTTCTGGTTTTTTCTCTTTTTATTTCTTATTTCCGCAAAAATAATTTAATTTTAACGAAACTTGATGAAAGTATACATTTCTGTGTCTTAAATAACCACAAATTTTTTTAGATAAAAAAATCAAGAAGTTTCTGAGATATTCATTTTTTTCGGCCTGAAACACTCTTTTTCAAAGAAAAATTCTACTTCAAAAAATCATCGTACAGAGTTCTGCCGGTAATAATTTTTTTCGCTTTGACATATACTTTTTGGTGAAATAAAAAAATCTGTAATCACACTTCAAAAACATGCTCAAAAATGCAAAAAAATAAAAAATGACACAACAATGAATTTTTCAGATATAGTTGATAATTTGTTTAAATTAAAAAACATTCAAAAACTGATTACACCATTCAATTCTACGGAAAAAAAATAAAAAAAA